TTTAAGATAATTTTCCTTACTCGCCTGTTAGGATCCTTGGATCGATCAGCAGATAGAAATGCAATAGCCATAAAATAATCATCCCATTACAAATTTCTGCATTTTGACAGGAACTGAATATAATTGTTTTGCATTGCACTTCAATATATTCCATCTGAAGCAATAATAGCAAAAGAACTTTAGCAAGTACAACAAAGACAGAAAAATATAATTACTTGTACCTTGCTTTACTAATATTTCTTTAGCCTTCATCACATCATTTAAACATAGACTGGAATTCATTATTGTTATCACTATTTGAGTTTATCAAAATCAGAAAGTACAGCAAAGACTGAAAAATATATTTACTGTATAAGTAATTGACTGACTCTTTTCGTTTGGTGGGATCATATGGGTTCTGAGGAGAGGGTTTCCTCCCGTCAACGACGCCGTTTGCAGAGAAGTGCTTGTTGGGGCAATTGGAGAGGAAAAATCGACGAAATGCGATTGCAGAGACCGCCGCACCAAATATTGTGGCAGTTGAAACCAGCACTATATCTCGAGAGTTCATCATTTGCAGCAATTCACACAGTACACACGCACTCACTGCGCGAGAAAGAAATTTGGCAGAGGAGGGGGAAATAAGCGAAGAAAAGTAGCGGGAAAAAGACTAGGTGGAATCAATGGTCTGATTTATAGTGTTGGGCTAGCCTTGTCACATGGTAAATGGAAAATTGACAGAATTAGCACTACAGTCTGATTTATCGTTTCCTATTATGTTCGATCTTTTTTTAAAAAAAATAGTGTAGCATAATCGATCTTGATTGAACACAAGAACCACTTTCTGTTATTTTTCTTGATTTTTAGAGGATTTTATTTATTTTCTAATTTTTTTTATTTTTATTTGAGCAAGTCGAGAGACAAGATCCTAGTTTGGGTGATAATTATTTGATCGTGCTTTAAGCACAATTTGAGCACGTTCCGTAAAATGACAAATTTACGAAAATGTATATTGATGTTAAAACAACATAACAAGTTCGATCGAGAATAACATAAAGTTGATCAATCTTGACTTGGTTTCTAATTGATGAACGAATGGAGGATCAACGATGAATCGAACGGGGGTTTGCAAAGAATAACAAAAAATTAAGAAGACTCTGTCATATCCAAGAACTAAAGTATAGAGTTTTGACTAATAATCTCAAATTCCCAATTCACAAAATTGGTTAAAAATAACAACATATACTTTGTAATTATCCGAAAATTCATCGTATTTTTATATTTGATTTTTCAAGGGAGACAAGTCACAGTTAACATTAAATTAAATTTTATTTAAATTGACGTTGGAGTTGGAGTTGGAGTTGGAGTTGGTGGAAAAGAAGTAAGATTCTTATACCAATTTAAGTGCCCATCTTTGACGAGTTATCCTACATGTACAAAGTTATGTTACAAAATTGGTTGACAAAATAATATCTACACCAATCATTTTAAAAATAGATTTTAAAATCATTTGAAATCAACGGTCTGGATTTTGCCAACGCACTTCATAATCCAACTTTTGTAACTCAACTTTGTACAAATAATTTTATTAATCTTTGACTAGCTATTTTAAGTACACCATTCAACGTTTTTTTTTTTTCCTCATTTTGAAATATGCGTAGCGTAGTTGGTATCGACTTTTTCGAAATAGTACCGAGAACTTTCCTGATAATTGAGATATATGGCCCGAAAAATAAGCCCAAAGAGGTTACGACAACGAATTAAATTTATTGAGCCCATTTCGTGGAGCCACTTTTAGCTCGATGTTATAATCTCGTCTTCTAACGATTTTGGAAATTGAGAGGTTGTTACGAAGTAGTTGTCAAATTATCTTGCAAGTGGACAGTATCGTATACAAGTAATATAGAACAAATAGAGTGTCGAACCCACATGTAATAATATCAACTTATTTACTTTAATTAAAACTTACTTTAACTAAACACACACAATTAAGACTCGAGATTTTGAGATTGATTGTTTCAATCAAGTAAAGCACCAAGATCATGAATCCACCTTTATAATCCTAATTCAATTCTCAATTAGAAATGATTTGTCTTCATTTTGGCATATGCTGAATTTGGGTAAATAAAGCAATAGAATAACGCGTCCAAGACTTTTAGCACTTCACTTTTGGGATCATTTGTGGCCTAAAGTTGTTCTAAATAATTCTCAACCATTGGTAGTGACCTTTCCGTCCCGCGCAAGTGTAGATACCGAGGGCCCGTTCGGTAGGGTTTAAAATCAGATTAAAATTGAAAAAATAGTCGTTATTGTTGACTTTTATTAGACGAGTGGGACCCAATAACGGTCATATTTTCAATTTTAATTGGATTTTAATCCCTACCGAACGGGGCCCTAATACTAAGCTCTCATGGGTTATCGCAAATAATAGTGTGTAAATTATACATATTTACAAGTTCCATTTATATATTATAAGTTCAGACAATGAGCCTGTTTGACATGACTTTTACTTTTACTTTCTGTAGAATAATTTTTGAGATAAGTTACCTTAACTTTTGTTTGAAAACTAATTTTTTTAAAAAACTTGATATTTCGAAAGTTGTTTTAAAAGAAGTCACATTTGATCAGCTTCCATTAAAAGCTCTTCTAATTGGAAAAAATGTTTTTATAAAAATTATTCAAACGGGTTCAAAGTAACTTTTGGATGTTAAAAGTCCATTTTGACTTTTCAAAAGTCATGTCAAACGGACCTTACGGCAATTATGTCTCGTAGTTTCTCCCAAATCTATTTACCAACAACAAGTAATCGAAGAATTGTTCAGATTTTATTTGAGTTCGTTCATACTCTAGGACTATTTACTACAAATGAATAATATTACTTTCCTTTTGCATTGAATTCTTTAAAGTATTATATACTACAAATCATCCAATATTTGCAATCGATCTTTCATTTATAAGAATTTTGTTCCACCAGCCTATGTAAAGTGTGCTCAAAGTGAAACTCCTTTTACCAAACACTCAAATCCAAGTTTCTTTCTTTCTCCAAATTCAAACGAACAATATAAAGTTTCCTTCGTCGGAAGTCATCTCATAAGTTCCTTTAACTCCAAGCTTCTATAAAGGAAACATTATTTTCCGCTTTTCTCCTTTAAAGATTAAAGGTAGTTTGTCTCTGTGTGTGTGTGTGTAATTTCAACCAACTTTTATGTTTATTTCTTGTTGGCCATCCCGTTTAAATAAATCTTCATCGCGTACCTTATATTTTTGTTTTTATTTGAACATTCTATCAATCACGAAACTACTTGACAAAACTCGTAACCCTGTAAAAAGAACCCACATCCAACTAATTCTTTTGGGTTTCGAAAATACAAATTCCACCTTTTTTGTTTAAAAGAGCGAGTAAATGACATGTATATAAATATTGAATAATGCTACTTGTATATCACCCCTTACACAAGGGATGACATAATGTCCAAGTGGCACCTCCTCATTGGAAGGGTGCCGAGACCCCACATGTGGGCCGAGGCGCCCCTCCAATGAGAAGGCGCCACTTGGGCATTATGTCACCCCTTACCCTTGTGTAAGGGGTGATGTACCCGTAGCAAAACCGATAAATATTTGACCTATTTTATTAGCCAAGTCGCAATTTTCATTAACAGGGTCAAGAACTTCATCGGCAAGGTCACAATTTCTGTGAATTCGATAAAAACTATAAACAAAATTGTCAAATTCAAATAAATATATACGTTGGGTGATTAAACTGGAACAAAAATATAATGACCAATATGAAACCAAGTTATGAGTTGCACAACTTCGTTAAAATTAATTGAGCGCATCTGTGTGTGTGTGTGTGTCACATCGTTTGCAAACAAAGTTCGTGATTCCATTAAAATTTTACTCACCATGTCTATATACACACGTGTGCACACGTGTAAACAAAATTATAAAAATATTTATAGGGGGCGTTTATATATTAATATATTTATCAGTATATCACTATTTTTTCAGTCCTCAGAAGTAGAAGACAAGGTGTAGGGTCTTTGGTGCAGGCACTTGTGGGATGGTGTACTTATGCCTGCAAAATAACTCACTTTTTCCATACATATTTGCGCGTGCTTGTATTTCCAGTAGCTTTACCCATCATGGCTCATAATTGTTACATCCCCATCTTGTTCAAGTGATTAGAATATGGAGCATGGGAAGAGAGTTTCTACACAACCACCCTCTTGTTAAGAACTTATTATTAACTTTTTGGGAAATTTACAACCAATGATTCAGTTAAATATTTTAACTCATACTTATTTTTCTACATAGATCGACAAACCAAAATACTAAGTGATAGTTAATGATTTGTGTTCGAATCGCATTTATATGTTTTGCCAACCTAATAGAGTTGAATGCAATTGAACGAATGATACGGCAAGATACACAACCAGCAAAACCTGAATGGAAATTTCAACAAGAATCAAATTATGTACGGATTTATGGTATAACACAATATTGCGAACTATAAAGTAAATATTATTGTGATCGACGTTGATGAATAAAATTAAATTGTTGCAACTTAAAAAAAAAAAAATCATACAAAATCAAAAGAATATATGTGTATCTTTTTAACACTAGTGGAGGCAAAGAATATAAATATGAGAATAGAACATGAATTCCAACTTGCATGAAAATGAATATCAAATATGGAATCCTTATCCATTAATCACAAAATAAATTATACCGTTCATGCATTTCCCAATGATAATGCTATATACAATGTGCAAGAATATGTGTTTTGAGTAATATTATTCATCCCCAGTAGGTTATAAATACAGATTAGGTGACTCTAAATGATAGATGAAATGAAATGACTTATTTAATTTCACATATTATTTAATGCCACATTAACGCCACCTAAACTGTATTTGTAGCCTCGGTGAGGATGAATAACACTACTCGTGTGTTTTAGACCATTCCTTGATTTCAGCATCTTGAAATTCAAGGCAACATGAATAATTCATTATCTAATTAATACTAAGTTAGAAAATTATTGTGTCCATTCCATCATCCTCCAATCATCAATATTTAAAAATTAATTTAGTTATCGGTCTAAAATGTAAAAACTCAAGAGATCAAATTAAAGTTAAACGAATTTTATCGTGATTTTTCTAGTTGAATGGGATGATTTGGTCCCGTAATTATAACATTGTCAATAATTTGACTTCCAACTTTCTATTTTGGAGTGTTTAATTGATTATATGGAATCACTACATTTGAAAATTATCATGTGGAAATTGGATATATTGCATCTATTGTGATCAAATTTGATAATTGGATTTTGAGTAACTATTTACATATTTTTTTCTCCAAGAAAATAATTTATCTAAAAAATGAGTAGTCATTGATATTGATCACCGAATATTTATCTAGTTGTTGAATTCTCGTTCATTTTTATTTAATGATAAAAATTTTATAGTTGAATTGCGATGAGACTTCAAAGCAATACATGTATCTCATACGATGTGGTATGTTAGATTAATTTATTTAAAAGTTTAAAGTATTCAAAGTTAGACAAAAAATAATTCCTGTATTTTCTCAAATTCAAATTCAAACATCAAGAATCGATAATTGCTGGCATCCTTTTTCACTTTATCAGAAAGGTAATGGAGAAAGAAAAAAAAAATCATAAAATCCCACACTTTAACTGATCACACATGCCCTCCATAACATTAAATTTTCTATTACTAACACAAATTTTAAGAAGATGTTCTCCTTGCCAATAATCTTAATTAAATATTTTTGAATTAAAAAATATATTTAATTAATATTTTCTAGGGTTTATGGATGTGGGAATCTATTCTTCTCAACTTTACAAAAGGTGATTGATTCCACTGGAAGAACTTAAAAGCACTCTTCTTATAAGAGAGAGTGACAACTTATGGGGCCAATATTCCTTGACAGTTCCAATTCCTCTTTAGCAGATGAATAGGGGTAGGGGTAGGGGTTGGGGTGGGGGTGGGGGTGGGATTTTTAGTGGCTTTTTGTGAAAAGAAGAGAAGAGTAAATTAATGGTGATAAGAAAAGTGTATATCCCTAAAGAAGTGGGAGGCACCATTGCTCCACAATCCCATAAAGATGGTCTCTGTTTTTTAAGGCCCATGCCCTTAGTGCTAAACCACATGCTAAATGGATTACAAGGTATTGAAATGAGTAAATTTTGAAATTTATGGGCTTCTTTTTATCTTGTTTGTTTGGTGGGGCTGGAGTGAGGTGAGGCTGGGGATATAATAAATGACTGATGGGATTGATTATGATTAAATGTTATGAATAACGGAGAAAGGAGTCAAAGGACGTCATATCATTTAATTATGTTATGATGATAAGAAACATGTTCGCTGAATAAAGTTAGATATATATAATTAATATCCATGTACATTTGCTCTCTCTTTATTTTTGTTCCTATCACGCGCTTGCCCTATGTTAAATTCTTGCAATTTGAGACTTAACGAATAATTATAAAAAAATTATTATTGATTAAAACACTTGGAAAAAGAAATCGATTATCAGTCATCCTTTTATTAAAGTTTCCATGAAAATTAGTTATTCAAACATAATAAAATGTTGAGGAGAAAGTTACTTTCTTGTAAAGGTCATACACGATGTTACTAATATTGACTATCGTCGAAAATTCAGATATTAATATCATTCTATCATTACGGGTAATGTTTGCTACTAATAAATAACATTACTCTATCAATATTTGCAATGACCAAAGCAAGAAGGCGTGTAAATTAAAAGTAATGCTATTCGTATGTTGATATCATTCGCCTATGTGACACTGGGACTAATGTCACGTAGACAGATGATTATTATGAATTATTGTCTTATTGACCGTTGATAATCAATTACGTTACTCATAATTAATTCAGGTCCAAAGTGGGGACAATAAATCATCTATCTTTAAAATCTTGTAATGAGGAAACACCATCATTAACTAATATCTAGCTCTGATATAAAATATAAATCTTCAATTCATTACTATTGTAATTTTGTCTTGACAATAATTGTTGACTTTGAAATCCCAATCTTATAAATAATGATTGGGACGTTGATTCAAAAAAAAGGTAAAATGTCAATAATCAATTAAATTTATTTTATCTTCAAAAAAAATTAAGTTCTATTTTTGGCACTGGAGATTGTAACTCCATGTTTTTTTTTTTTTTAAGAAGTTTAATTTGTTTGTACAATTGTAATGGAGACAATACATCTAAATTTATCTTCGCTCTCATACTCTCTTTGTTCTTGTAATGTTGCTATGGAGATAAGTCCTAACGTCCTTTTACTATTCTCCATTTAATTATTAATATGAGGGTAGGAAATAATGTCAAACTTGTCATCGATACCTAGGTAGAGGTCTAAAAAAACTTCATCTTAGCATTTGGTGGATTTTATTAACAGAGAAGAAAAGAAAAATTGAGTTTTGAGAAAGGTTATTCAATATGATGTAAAACAAATTCTGCATCATAATCGCACCGTCACCTATGTTTCGAATATTGTGCATGTTGAGACTTCGATAAGAAAAATCTAATTGATATGAATGGGAAGGACACGTTGAAGAGAAACATTAGTTTATGTTTGTTATACGAATAATGCTACTAGGTAAATTTTGACTTCTTTTTCTTCTTCTGTGTCCGGTTTAAAGTACCCTTCTGCCTATTTGAATGCTACATTAAAACGATAAAAGCCTTCGGACCACACCACTGCTTTTTTAAGATCATATTTTAAGGAATAAGCCCCCTGTACACAGGACTTTGCTGTACAGGGACTGAGATGGCAGCCCCTGGTGGATGTTTTAAAATTGTTTTTTGGCATTACTCCAGTGAAATGTTTTCATATGACAATTTATAACTCCATCCGACAAATATGTATGTACACATAGTATGGTTCCTATTTGAATAACTCCAGTCTCAAGTTTCTATAAGTCAGAACTCAAATTAATAGCCCATAATCTATAATATAGAGATAAAAAAATTTTTGAGTTTTGCTGCATTTGTCAAACTAGTTGCGCAAAATAATCGTACTTAACTCTTGTTTTCATCTGTCAAATGGGGTCAATAAAAAAGTTTTTATAATGGTGAAAGTCTGAACTCCTTTAACTTTTCCTTTGAATGGTTATGTTATTTTGTATGGATTTTTTTGTTTCCATGGACAAAATTTTCGAATGAAACACTGGATTGTATTACAACAAGACAACACAAATACATACAAATACAACCATGTTGAATCAAGAAAAAACAACAAATATGGCTTCTTCTTCTTCTTCTTTCAAATCTTACACAACAATCCCAATCCTTTTCATTTTTGTTGCTTTCGTATGTACTCCTGTCATGTCGAATCCTGTCTTGTCGGATTCTAGTAGCAGCAATCAGACTCTCTGGCCGCGCCTTGACCTGCAAAAGTTGAATAGAATAAGAAATTATCTCAAGAAGATAAACAAGCCTGCAGTCAAGACAATTCAGGTACATTTTATCTGCTTTTTCTGTTTGTTAATGTATTCATGAGTACAAGGTTTAATGGTTTTTTTTTTTCATTTTTACAGAGCCCAGATGGTGATTTGATCGATTGTGTTCTATCTCATCTTCAACCAGCTTTTGATCACCCTCTGCTCAAAGGCCAGAAGCCATTGGTAAGATATATCTTTCCCTCTTGGTATATTTTGTGTGCCGGATTAGAAGGAATCGAAAATACAATTTTTAAAGTTTTAGCTCTGAGTCCTGTTTAATACACATACGAAAATTGGAATTATTTTCCAATGGATTGTATTGTATTTCTTTGGGACTATCTGGTTTTTATTAAGAAAATGAAGCTCTTCATACAAATGTAGGAGCCGCCAGAGAGACCTAAGGGACATGATTCAATGAATTCAACGGGATTTCAGCTATGGACAGAATATTCCGGCAAAACATGTCCTGAAGGTACTATTCCTATCAGGAGAACAACGGAGAAAGATCTTCTCAGGGCTAATTCAATTCGCAGATTCGGACGAAGAAGGATCAGAACAGGGGTCCGGCGAGACACCAGGAGCAGTGATCATGAGGTTAGTATGAGAAAATCAAGATCAATGAGAATGTAGGCATCTACATTTTCTTTAATTAGCAAGATGTACTGATTACTAGGATTTGAATCTGTCCAATAGTACATGGGCAGGCGCCCTCTAAGTTTACGACTCTACCTACTAATGGACTGCGAAGGGGTACGGAAACGAGGAATGACTTGAGTCTTTGCTTTTAGTGTTCCACAGTTGAGGATCAATCTTTTCGTGTGTTATGATTTAGGGTTGCCATATTGTTTTGCCAGATATTTGTTATCAAAGAAGCAACTATTAATCCAGATTCAGAAGGCTAGTCTCATTTGCCATGTTCTTGGCAACAAAAGAAACTGAATGATATTTGTGTAGCCGAACCTAAATTTATCCGAGTATACGGCTCATTTTGTTGTTCTGTGCAAGACAAAATCAGAATGTAGAAAAATGAATAAGCTACCATTCTACAAGACACTGATTATATGAAATGATAAGATGAAATTATCAAGCAATTAAGTGATAGATTGTTCTTATTTAGTTGATATAAATGAATATCTAACTCAGTGTTCTCTACAATGAAAATCTTTGTGAGTTCAGCACGCAGTTGCTTTCGTTAATGGAGATCAGTATTATGGAGCAAAGGCCAGCATAAATGTGTGGACACCCCAAGTAACAGACCAATATGAATTCAGTCTCTCTCAGCTATGGGTTATTTCCGGCACATTTGGCAATGATCTTAATACCATTGAAGCTGGTTGGCAGGTACGTGTATTTACAGTACAATTCATAATTACTCTGCTAATTTACTACGCAGAGAAGTGGTTTTCCCTTTTAAATGAAGTACTTTAGTCCAGTAATACCTTTTTTGTTTATTTACCATTGATATATATTAATACGAAACTGTAATCTCTATTTACAGGTCAGCCCGGAGTTATATGGAGACAATTATCCTAGGTTCTTCACTTATTGGACGGTGAGTGTCATGATGTTCTTTTCGTGTTCACACACACATGCGAGGTTTTTATACAATATACAAGGTTGAAAACCAAAGTACTGATCCGTCGCTGAACACAGACAGATGCATACCAAGCAACAGGATGCTACAACTTATTATGCTCTGGCTTCATCCAAATCAACAACAAAATTGCTATTGGCGCAGCAATCTCTCCAAGGTCGTCTTACAATGGCAGACAGTTTGATATTGGCATAATGATCTGGAAGGTACGCCTTAGGTGGTTTTAGGTATATTATACTATTCTAACCAATCCAAACAACATTTGACAAAATCAAAAACCAGGTTTTCAGCTACATATAATTAGGTAAATTTGGATTTTTCTTTGGCAATTTTCCTGGTTGCATCCTTCTTAAATGTCAACTTTCAGATTCAGAATGCTTAGATTTCTCCATTAGTTAAACTAAATCTTTAATCAACAAGGACAAAACTAATGCATAGAAAGTGACATTTTAGTAGATGGACCACTGTTTCTGAATATAAAATTGTAAGATTCTCCTTTTTGCCTAAGGGCGTGTAAAGTATCCAGTTCTGTCTCTTTCCTCGTTAAGTATTAGCTCCAAATTGACCATAAAAGTCTTTTGGCTCCAACTTTGCACCATTTCTTGTTTTCATATTGACTCGCGTAATTTCCTTGAGCTATGGCACTATCTTAAATAAAAAGATGAAGGGAATTCTCACACCGTGACTAAAGAACTAAGCCTTATTTCCAAATAATGTAAGATTGGTTACATCAATGTTTTTTGCCCCTCACAGGTCATTGTTACATGTACTGATAGATCCAAAACAATTAGATTCTTAACGTCCACAACAGACCATATTAGTTTTGGTTTATCCTCCCTCTTCTTACATGTTCTATTGAGATTGTGTCGCTCTTATAAACAATGTTTCTTTATTTCTATGTTTAGAGTATCTCCATTACGTAAGAGTTTGATATTTTCAATGTTGGTATGTTGGATCTTTCCCTCACATATGGCTGTATCAAGAACCCTTGAATCCATAGCTACTTACCATTCCAACCCAGTTCCAACAATATGTTTCTCAGGCCGAAAAGCAAGACTGCCTGACATTACATATTAGAACTCATTCAACCACCCAATCTATCTTTCTCTTAATTTATCATAGACGATATTCTCAATTCTTATCTTATCCATTTTTAATACAAGACAAATTAACAATTTAAAACACGCCCAACATTTACTTAAATTAGGCTCCGCTCATTCATCAACTGTGTTCTGTACAGGACCCCAAACATGGACACTGGTGGCTAGAATTTGGTTCAGGACTTCTTGTGGGATACTGGCCTTCTTTCTTGTTCAGCCATTTACAAAGCCACGCAAGCATGATACAATTTGGAGGAGAAATAGTGAACACTAAATCCATGGGATTTCACACATCAACACAAATGGGCAGTGGCCATTTTGCAGATGAAGGATTTGGCAAAGCATCTTATTTCAGAAATTTGCAAGTTGTTGATTGGGATAACAGTTTGATACCACTTTCTAATCTTCATTTATTAGCTGATCATCCAAATTGTTATGATATAAAAGCTGGAAAAAATAATGTTTGGGGAAATTATTTTTATTATGGAGGTCCTGGAAGGAACTCAAGGTGTCCATAAGAAAAGAAGAAAATTTGACAGAAAAATGTAGAGAATAACCTTATTATGATTTATTCTAGTCTTTTTATTTTTATGTCATTTTTCTTTTTTTAATTCTTTGAAGTAAGTTGGGTCATCTTTATAGTTTTCCTATCATAGATCCAATGTTTGTTAGATCTTCCAAATTTGATGTAAATTTTTTGTTTGAGAAATTGATAATATAACACAGTTTGTATTTTTCTTAGTTATCGATTTTATTTTGTTATGTATATCAACGATCTCATATTTTTGGAGCTTTACTAGACTTAGTAATGAACCAAAAAATTGAGCTTTTCAAAATGAATAATGCTACGTTGCCCGAAAAATGTGACATAATAGTTGACAAAATAAGTGTTGGCAAGATGTGATTAGTTGAAAAAGATGACTGTATTTTAAACAGTCCAATGATAGGTTGCCAGATGACATTATGTCAATGATTATGTCAACCATTATGTTCATGTAACATGATTCGACAGAGAGAAGGAAATAAAAACAATCAGTGTATCTCAGTTAGGCCACCAATGCAGATTTGTTTGTTTATAATTTAGAAAATTATTAACAATTCATAAATTGAAAGATGTAAAACTTTTCTGACCAAGAACATGGATTCTATCAACGCTTAATTAAATAATAATCAAGTTTGGACACTGGTTTATAGGTTCATTTGTTTTTTTCTCACTTGCTAGGCCTCGCGAATCTGCAGCTCCATTTTCTATAATGAAGGTTTGTAAGTATTTGCGGTTTGACCACGTCCCTGAATGACATATTTAGTACATAGTATTTAAAAACATCGTTCAACATATCGTACAAAATTTATAATTCTTTCGTTTTAATCAGTATTCTACTTTCTCATGACTAAACATTTTCATGTTTTCTTTTGATACATCAGAAAAATTGTCCAAGTCAATCCTAGATCCATTTGCGTATCTTTTCCAGCTACTACTGCGATGGACCTTCTTAATAAGAGGAAATAAAGAATCTGCTGACTAACAGCAGCTTTGTCTTTGAAATTTAGTTTTGGAAAATGTGCTTGCAGATGGTCAAACAAAGTACCAAATAAAATTAGGTAGCCCATGTATTAAGGAACAGCTCATTCTTAGGATCCAAACTCAAAAGACTTCAGTGTAGCCTTAATGAAAATTTCACAATCAATGTCCCCCTTAATCTTTTCGGGGAAGTGAAACCGATGGTTTTCTGATTGATGAAAAGTTTTGAAAGTTGACCAATTTCTTGATCAATTCATTTGTAGGAAATGAGTTTCAGAGTATCATGAACAAATAAAAAAGGGACATGAGTGTGTAACTTTCACTTCAAAATGGAAAAATAGACCTTAATGAACACGCTGTTGAGTATATTCAGTTTTTTTATGAAATGACAAACCAATAGGATGCAGCAGTGGCTTAACCCAAAAATTCACTATTCAGCTCTCTTGCATGAGATTGCAGGAACAAACATAATTCCTTAATCCATTCGAGAGCCTACCATACTGAGCATTCTTTAAATTGCAGGAACATGCCTGATGCCTTCATACACGTCAAGAACCTAGAATCCAAGTATTCGTTATAATGCAGCCTGAGTTAGTTCCTTTTGCTGCAGCAGCATAATCTCCATGCAGGTGAATATCAGTCGTGATGCACCTGATAACAACTTTTAGAATCCGATCCCTCTCCTTGAAAAGAAGCAACTTCATTAATCCTTGTAAAAGAGTATAGATGCCGCGTTCATCCAGTTTTAGTTCAACTAAGTTTGAGAGCCAGTCTATAAATGTAACTAGATCTTCAGGTGTACGGATACAAGAACCAGAAAAATCAAGGAAACTTAATTCCATATCTTCCTATAAGGCTTCCTGTGCGTCAGATTTCATTTCAGAATTCTCATACATATGTTCTTGCAAAAAGATCGCAGAATTCCATGAATATTTGATCTTCCATGGTTTTCCTGAGCACTGAGATCAATAGTGATGCCACAGTTATCCCATTGGCCTGTGGATTTCATCTTCAGAGCAATACATTGTGTAGATTTAAGGTCGAAAATCACAAGCCGAACCAATTGTGATGAACTCCAGCTTTGATTTTTCTCGTAATTTGCAGATTGCAAAGTAGGATCAAATTGGCAAAGGGAAAGTGCACCGTGAAAGTGGAAAAGTCATAGAAATTCATTCCTAGTAAAAGAAAAATAGTCACAAAAAAAAAAAAAAAAGAGGAGCAATGAATTACTAATTACAATTTAAGCAAACACTACGAAAGCTGATATGTTCTCATTTTAGCAGTGTCAGATATTCTTTAAATAAGAATTCTATCTGCTCAGATCAGTTTCAGAGAGACAGCTAGTTTCTTATAGTCTCTCTGATCTCGATTCAAGGAAACCCAAGATTTCATTGAGTTGAGGTCCGACAGATTGAAGTTCGATGACTTGTATTAAACTTTCCATTGCCATTTTAAGGTTAGTGGTTCTATTGTGAAACATCTATGTCAGTCATTTCACAGATCAATGTCCTAGCTTGTCAGAACAAAATGAGAGTCCAACGCCCTAAATGTCTTCTTGGAACAACAGATATACTGGGCCACGAAAGTCATCTGAAAGCCAAAACAACTGGTCGTGCCACTCACTCCAAGCATCACAAATTTGCTACAATACAGAAGCAGTTCTCTTCCAGCAACATTACCTAAAGAATCATTAAGTTCAAATAAGTTCCATCTTTTATGTTTATGTTTCACCTAAAGACATGCTATCAGTTGTGCTACATGTACATCCCAACTTACAGATTTCTTTACCAACAGATGATGTGATGAGATTTGATTGGGTCTAAATCTCATCAACCAAATAATAAAACAAAAACAAAAGCTCCCCCACTTTCTTTCTGACACCTTATCAATCTGTAAAACATTATGTAAATGGTGATGTACAACAAGCATTCTCATCCATAAAACCACGCAATAGATACAAATGTAAGTATTGCTCCTCTATGCTAACTAGACCTTTCTTAATAAGGAATGTGTAATCGAATTGGAATACAAGCATATATAGTCATGTCTATCCACTTTTCCTCTTCAAAACATATTCACAATATATATATATATATTTTTTTATTTATTTATTTATTTATTTTTTTTTTTTGGGGGTGTAAGTCACATTAATGTCCTAACCATCAGAGCATGATTTCTCTGTTTTGAATGCTACTATGAAAAATGAACAAGGAAGGAAATTCCAACAGCAGGAAAACAAATAACTTTGTTGAGTAGTCCTCAATGTGCAAGTCCTTGGGCCACTAAAATCCTACACAATGGAGAGATGGTAGGAGAGGCCTATACTTTTATCTTGTTGCATTACATATGTTAGCTGCACCATATGGTCCTTACCTTAATTGATATGCAATACTCCGTATTGTGTGATCTCTTTAATCCAAAGTTGTACTTAACAAAATGCAGCGAGATATAATTTACTAAAGATTACCATCAAAACCTTTAGGTTTCCATGCGTTTGTTTTCTGCTCTTTTCCATTTGAAGACATTCATGCATTTATTAGCTTAAAAAGTTCTGAACTTGAACCAATTTATTCATTCAAAAGCATAAAATAGAATAAGTAAATTCAACGCAAATCATCTGTTAAATCTTACACAGGCCTTGTTTAGTTACCTAAGAGTCAGAACAGGTGGCGGCAGGGGACAAGAGTAAGACTCCGTTGTATAGAACTTTCTTACTTTAACAGAGCATAATATGTCCATGCCCTTAAAGATGAATGACACCTCACTCAAAATTTGAACAGATTATTCTGATGTGTGCCATTGAGCATATTGATTTGTTTTTTAATGTAGCAGATGGTTTTCTAGAACCTAATTCTATATCAATGCATACCCCTTTTAGCATACAAATTCTGGTAGTAGTATTCTATTGCAATTTTTTTTTCTTTCAAAATTTAATAAGACGTTACAAATCAAAAATTTTATAATCAAAATGAAGATTTTCTCAAAATATATTTTTGACGTTTTTAGTGCTTTCAACCCATGAATCTACCACTTGGAGCCAATAGTGGCTTAAAATCACAAGCACCCATAACCACAAACTCAAAGATCAAAATATATTAAGATGGAAATATCACAAATTTGTCCATAAAATTGCATCAAAATTGGAAAGGCTTGAAAACCATACTATAAAATATAAGTGATTCAACCACTAAGCTACAATTCAATCGCAAAGTAACAAATTCTTAAACAGATTTTCATTTATAAACATATTATATAATGTTTCAAATATTCTATTCTAATAAGCATATGATTATGCCTAAGGGCATAGACTACTTTTCTTATTTCCCTTATTATTATATTTACATGTCTAAAACTACTTAAAAACTTCAATATTTATCCTAGTGGCTTAAGTAATCACCTCTTTGTGAAAGTGTGGTGGGTTTGCTCCCATAGCTTGCGTGCTTCAATTTCATCGTTTGCTAAGGCCGAGCACCGACTCTCATTGCAATCTGCGAAGTAATTGCCACTCACCGCACCCATAAGCGGGCTTAATGCCACGTAACATGTCGTTGCTGCACCCTGCAAATTACAGTATGAATGTACATATATTAGGAGAGATCCAAAAAAGTAAAGGATAAATATTTTTGGTATACTGATGATGAAGTATTTGGCTAAAGATATAATTTAAGCTCCTATTTAGTTTAACTAAAAATCAGATTTTTAGTAGATTTTGATATATATTAATGAAATGTATGGTTGAAAAGTTCATAAAAATTGTAGATCCTATAAAGTATAAAATGTGTGGTTGAAAATGATTTTGGAGGAAAATGTGCGTCAAACAAAAGTTTCGATCTTTTTATAATGGTTTAGACTTTTATATGAGTTGATTCCTTAAGGTATTACAGCTAACATAATATTAAGCTCAATTCGTATTATAATTCATTTTACCAAAATTGTAGACTTCAAGATATTAGTAAAAAACAAATATAGCTCGCATGTGAAGGGACGTGACTCAACACATTTATTATATTAGTTTTATAATTCATATTTATCTAACGAGATAGTTCAACACGTATTTGAAATAGAATTTGCAGCCAAAAGACGGAGACGAGAATGTAGAGAACCTGTGACATTGATTTCAGAAACTTGGAGATCATGAAACAATAGAATCTGCAAGTTTCAAAATTGCTCAGTGGATTAATTAGTAACTTTGTATTGTTTATTTCAAGAAATGCAAAAAAGGGAGGGGGGGGGGGGGGGGGGGGGGGG